AGGAGCGGTGGAAGCCATCCAGGTCCAACTGGCAACAGAGACATCAGATGGAACGGCGGTGGGGAGACGTGAAGTGACCCATCTTTTCCACGGACGCCTGACCAGCTGAMCTGGGAAATGTGACTCCAGGATCTCCTTCACGGATGATTTTTAAAGAAAAATTGGGATTGTAAAGGTATTAAAATTTTTATGAGAGAGGAAAAAAATGGGACTAAAAAATTTTTGTGGTTGGCTGATGCCACTTGAAGCAAGGTGATTTTAAGTTACTTTCCTACTAATGACCATTAACATCTCCTAATTGCTTACTCTAAGATGGGCTCACAATGAACTAACTATGTCAGCTATTTGGRACCATGAATGATTGCAGCATTATGTTGTATTAAGATAAGCCAACAGATTATCTTATGTGTAGTTGAGAGAGTGAACTCTTCAAGGGAAACTGAAACCATTTGTCCAGTCCTGCAATTGGAAAGATATCAAGATGCAACCGGCAGTAAGTCAGGAAAGCAAACACAGTCCTCGAAATACAGCCTCGTTCTATTTCCCCAAGGCATCTGCAGACACCTTCATAAAGCTTACTTAGTACACATGAGCAGCCTCCAACTCTGCTGAGAAAGTCTTTAACTGAGTTACTAGATTGCTAACCTGGGCAAACTGTATTGAAAACCTTTTTAAAAATATCCATATCAATGGACTAAACTTGCTTTGAAATTTGCACGAGCTCCAGTTACAGGAAAACCAAAATGAGTGGCATAAGGAAGATTCTGTGGTCACAATAGGTCACATGCTATGGGGCCACTGGAAATGCTGGCTAAGTCCATCTTCCTGAAGGTGCTATTTAAACTGTCTCCATTCTGTGGGGCACCCTGCCTCTCTTCCAGGATATACACCTTGCCTGATACTGTTGGGATCTCACAGCAGTGTAGGCAGAAGCCCAGCCTGTGGCCCGGCATAGGGGCACCTTCTGCACACCCTCTGGAGAACACTGCCCCAGTTAGGACCATCTGAAGCTGGCAGAACAACCCGTGGGCTGGCTTAGCTTGAGTTACCRGCTCCAAGCCCCATGGTTCCAAAGCTGGCCACCAGTTATGTCACTTAGACACCCTGGATGGAGGGGTGAGAGGGTGTTGAAGAGCTACTTGGGTAGTGGTCATGAGCCTGTGCTTGTGGAGACCATGAATCTGAGTTCAAATTTCAGCTCCCCAACTACTCGGAGCCCCACACACTTTAACCAATGACTCCAGTATCTGCATCTTTATCCACAGTTTAGGAACGGCCTACTAATAGCCTCGCCATTACCAGTCACTCACTCCAGTGCCTAAGCGTCACCACCACCCCTGTGACAGAGGGCAGCTGGCTGGCGACCCCTGCTCCCTTGAAAAGTGTCGGTGACTTAGGAAAGCATTCTCTTAGGGATGTGATTCTGCAGAGCAGAGGTGAAACCAATTCTTAAGCAGCCTAGGATCAGTAAGCCCAGGAGACTCGAGATGGAAAGAACATAAACGCAGAAACCTCTTAACCTGAGGAAGCGGGCCTGCCGCCCTGCAGTGTCCCACAGGCCTTGTGAGAAGACACAGGGCAGCCCAGGCTGGACAGGCTGTGGTCCTGCTGGGCAGCCCCAGCACTTCTGCCTCCGGGGCTGCTCGTGCTGGACGCTGAGCCTATTCCTTCTGGCCGGCTCCCTGGGCCCCTCCTGAGAATCGACCCTGACACCCGAGGCCTGATGCCACTCCCTTTCTGGGCACATCACTGGGTGAGCTGCTGCACATCCCTGGGCGTCAGGTTTATCATCAACAGAATGAGAAGGGAGGAGGCTTGCAGCTGGCCGGACTGTGAAGCTGAGGCATGCAGGAGGGCTGAATGATCTCTAGCAAAGGTAAAGCTCCAAGGCACTTCCTGGAGATGGAAGCTCCCGTCCACCCTGATGGCAGCCTTGCCCCCAAATGCCACGGCTATGGGGAATGCCGCTTGCTGCCCAGCTTCCCAGAGGTGATCAGAAATGACTAGGGAAAATAATCTCCTCCTACATAAACTGCATTTCAAGTTTTTAGCTACCTGCCAAGGAAACCTGTAACCACAGGGATAAAACTAATTTTCCAAAATCACACAGAAAACGGGTTACTAGGGAATGTGCTTTCTGAGGGAATTAGTCACAAAGACCTTTAACCTTGGCTAAAGATTAACAACAACAACCAGGTCATTAAACTGGAAACTTGTTGTTGGTTAAAATTACTGTGGGTTTTTTTTTTTTTTTTTTTTTTTTGGTGGTGGTGGTACTGGGGATTGAACCCAGAGACACTTTACCACTGAACTATATTCCCCATGCCTATTTATTTTTTATTTTGAGACAAGTTCTCACTAAGCTGCTGAGAGACTTGCTAAATTGCTGAGGCTGGCCTTGAACTTGCAGTACTCCTTCCTGCCTCATTCCTCCTCGCACCTCCAGATGTTGGCGGTTACAGGTACGCGCCACTATACCTGGCAAAACTACTGTACTTTGAAGCATTTAAGAAACAGTCTATTGCTCAGTTTGTTTAGTTGGGGACAGGCAGGTGCAAAACCATCTACCAAGGTCACTGTTGTCCACTGTCTGGGGGTCAAGACTGAAGGTCAATCATGTTYCAGACACAGAGCTTTTCATGCATTATCAGACTGCCAAGTCCTCATTTACAGCCTTCCAGGATATTTCCTCTATTTTACACAGTTGCTCGGAGAAATTAAGTTCCATGCTCAAAACAACACAGTCTAGAGTGGCAGTTCTGACTTTGTACCAAAGTCTTGATCCTTTGGAGTTTAGAGGTGATGTATCAGCAGAGGACAGTCACAACAACTCAAGGAACCTAAAAAGTAATCTACTAATTTCTGTTTGGCTTTGCAGGTCATCTCTACGGGCATTCCTTCCTCCTGGGAGTGGCCACGCAGGAGATTAAATGATAAAAAGTGAATCGCAGGCCAGGAATTGGATTAGGTCAAAGAGCATTTCCACTTAGCAAGAAATCTATGCTGCATCTCTTCCCTGCTCCAGGGATGGCGCTGCATGGAGACAGGGGCCTGCCTGGAATCAGGGAGGCATGAGAATTACTGCCTCTCAGACTGGCCCCCCTACAAGTGGCTTTCATCTTTCACTGCCTTTGAAACATCCACTGGACAATTAATATTCATATTTTAGTCAAGATCAACTTTAGTTTGAGTTGCTGAAGCACTATCTTAGGACAGGTAAAGTTCTTGTCCATTTAAAAAAATAAATGAATTAACCTCYATTTGAGACAGGGCACCAGTCTGTAAAAATGATAAAGGGCTAACAAACTATTTTCAGTATCTATCTGAATGYTCTAATGTCCAAAGATTCAACTCAAAAATTCGATATACCAAAGACCATGAGAAGGCCAAGCTGGTACTTTTCTGTGCCCATCCCCAGGGGACCACAAGAAGTGTTCACAAAACATTAAGAGCGCTCTGGGCATCTCACAGTTCTGCAGGAGGGCCACCTCTCACTGGGCAGTTCCCCTCTGACATCTGCAACCACTGCTGTCTCTTYCCCCATCCCTGTGGCCTAAGGGCCTGTTCCCCCCATGGGACCCTGAATACACACTTAGAGCAATCCTACATTAGAATAGAGGGCAACTGACAGATTCTTCTTTCCAAACACTATCTGTTTTGCAAATGAGGCACCTGCAGTCCTGAGAGAACAAAGGTCCTACCTATTGGGGGTCCGTGAACTTCTCAGTAGGGCCTCCCCCCATCCTCCTCAACAATTCTCTCTCCTTTATCAATCTGAGTGCAAAGCTGGAAGAGGGGAAGAAAAGGCCCCTCTGCACCTGCATCCTAATACTGTCCATGCCCCCCCTACCCTGGCTCAACCAAACAGGGATGGACAGAGAAGACAAAGTCCAAAGGCAGCCAAGTCAGAACTGAGAAGGTAAGGCAGACAAGGGATGAGAACCATGAGAARAGTATAAAGAAAGAGCCACAGGGCTCAGAAGGCAGCTGCCCCAGAACTGGTTAAGTGCTGGAACCCTGCAGTGCAGCCAAGCTGGGCTTTTGCATACCAGCATTCAGCAAGGGCTCACTGAGGGCCTACTTGGCAGAAGCAAGTAGTTTGGTGGGAGGCAGTGGGGGAGACAGGTTAAGCAAGAACAGCACAGGCCCTGTTGGCAAAGAGAACATACCACAAATATAACAAGTTTATTTCAACTATTGGCAAGCACAGGGGTAACAAGGGTTTGGGAGGGGGCAGTTTTAAGCAGCATTCCAAGAGAGCACAACTTTGAGGAGGTAGCACCCAAGTTAGAATTCGGAGGCCAGCTGTGCAAACAACTTCGGAGGGCTGGAAGTATGTCAAAGTAGAGGGATCTAAATTCCCTGGCGAACGCTTCCTAGATATGGTGGTAATTGACACTCTGGGAAGGTTAGAGCCCAGCGACACGTGGCAAAGATAAAGAGAAAAGTGCACAAGTGCAAGGTGCCCAGGGGACCCTACAACTCCAAGAATCCACTTCTCAGCACGTGTCTCCCCATCAGACTGAGCTCCAGGGCAGAGGCCGGTGGTCTCCTTGCCGACCACCGAACCCGTCCTGCGCCAGGAGGAGAGGCCAAAAGCCAAGAGCGTGAAGGACACAGGGGTCGGGCCACCTGGTCACCTAGCAATGGCTCGCGCCCACCCCGTGGTGGCCTGTCCTCGTGGCAGCCATCTTGGGCGCCTCCAGCGGAGAGTTTCGTCACGCCGTCGCGGGGGACAGCAGGGCAGGGTGCGCGGGGCGTGGACAGAGGAGCCCCTTCCCACTGGGGGCGAGAGCCACCACCGCGGAACCCCGGGGTACCGGGATGCTCGTGATGGAGGCAGCCAGGCAGCCAAGGGCAGGGTCCCCAAGGCGTAGGGACCCCGGTCCCGAGGCGTCCCCGGCCCCGCGGAGGGGCTTCCGACTCCGAGCGCACCGGGTCCCCCCCGCCCGCGCCGCGCCTCCGCCCCTCCCGCGCGCCCCCCGCCCGCCGGGCCGCACCTGCGACTCGCCGCCGCTGCCGCCCGCGCCGCTCTGCGCCGCCTCCGCCGCCACCGGAAGCGCCGAGGGCCCCGCGCGCCGCGCGTTAGAGCGCGTTCTCGGCGCGCGGCCCCGCGGGCGCGCGGCTGGGTCCGGGAGCCACGAGGCCGGGCTGGGCCCTGGCGCGAAGGCTGCGCGAGAATTCGGCCCGCGGCTCTGGCGCCTTCGCCTCGGTCGGGGCGCGGTTCACCCGCCCCGGTAAGAACCCGCGCCCTCCCCGGGGCGGTCCGCTAGGCCCAGCCGTCGTCCGCACCTCGGCTCCCCACCCGGGACCGCGCCTTCCTCGCTTCCCTATCCCCAGGGCCACCGAGCACTCCTTTGTTCCAACTGGCGTGTCTCAGAGGGCGGCGCGGGGCACCGCCGCCACGGRGTGATTCTAAGTGGTTACCAGGACTGAGAACTCGTGGTCTGCAAAAGTATGGCGCCAGCTGCTGGGTGAAGGGCGGGCTGCGAAGGGGAGGCCCTGACGGAAAGCCGGGGATCATGGAGACCACCGTGGCTCCAGCAGAGAGAGGGTGTCCTCGACCAAGTTGGTGCCAACGCAGAGAGCGAGATGACATGGATCCTGGGCATGATATAAAGGGCCAACTGCATGATGTTCACGGATAGAAATATTTCGTTTTTAATTAATTAATTTTAATTAGGTCTATATGACAGCAGAATGCATTTTGATTCATTGTCCACAATTGCTGCACAACTTTTCATTTCTCTGGTTGTACACGGTGTAGTGTCGCACCATATGTGCAGTCATACATGTACCTCGGGTAATGATGTCCATCTCATTCTACCATCTTTCCTGCCCCCATGCGCCCTCCCCACGTTTCCTCCCTTTTGCCCAAAGTTCCTCCGTTTTCCCCATGCCCCCCCCCTTCCATTTTTAAAGACAGGAATTCAGCTGGACATGGTGATCACGTCTCTAATCCCAGCTACTCAGGAAGATGATGCGGGAGGATCTCAAGCTTGAGCAATTTAGCAAGTCCCTGTTTCAAAATAAAAATGTGAAAAGGGCTGGGGATGAACTTCTGTGGAAGAAGACCCCCGGGTTCAATCTGCAGTACTGCAAACAAAATGAAACAACAACAAATTATATATATGTGTACAAATATAATATACACTCTCCCTTCTCACAAATAACCTATAAAAGTAGTGCACTTTCAACAGAATTCTGACACTTGTGTGTATGACTCTATGTTGTGTGTGTGTATAACCTAACAAGTCGGCTGTAAAATGTATATGGGGAAAATAAAGAGCCTGAAATAGGCTATAGGCTAAATAATTCTGAAGGAAAGAGCAAGGTGGAATGACTTGTTCTATGGATATAAAAGATAAATAAGAAGGGTAGTACCTCAGTATCAGGGTCAACAAACCTTTGCATGGTCAACTAGAGGTGCCACTAGCTGTGCACCCCTGCATGTGTAAGACCCTGTTATGAAATGACATCACAGGTTTTGGGAGAAAGGTCAAATATTTGTTAGACAATGCTGGCATGATTGAATCCCAACTTTGGACCACACACAACACTAAATTGCAGATGGATCCATGTGTGAAAGAGAAAACTTCCAAAATTTAAGCATTATTTCACAGCTATTCTGGGTGGCATTCCTTATCCTCAGAATTCCTACGAATATTAATCAACTTCTATGCTAGGATCCAAAAAATTGACGCTGGGGGCAGTGGGAGTGGTGACACATAACTGTAATCCCAGTAGCTCTGGAGGCTGAGGCAGGAGGATCACAAGTTCAAAGACAGCCTCAGCAACAAAGAGGCACTAAGCAACTCAGTGGGATCCTGCTGCTTAATAAAATACAGAACAGAACTGGGGATGTTGCTCAGTAGTTGATATCTCCTGAGTTCAATTCCTGGTTACACCTCCCCCCAAAAAAGATTGAAAACAAACAAACAAAAAAAGAGATTCTTCCCTTCAAGGAGCCATGGAAACATGTATTTAAAATAAATGAGAACAATCCAATATAAAACCTGCAACAGTGTAAGAGTGGGAGGTATCAGCTAGGTCTATACAAGACAGAGAAGGAATTGAGCAGGCTGGCCCAGAATGGGTAGACTAGTAGCTGGAGATATAGTTGATACAAATGTTTCAGTTATCCATTGCCACAGGAATGCCACATCACAATCAGGAAAATTCATGATATGCAACAAAAAACATTTACTTTGTTCCTGAGTCCCTGATCTATGGGTTGGTTGCACAATTTTGCAGACTTGAGCTGGGCTCTGCAGAGTTTACTAAGGTGTCCATGATTTGTTTCGGGTTGTTGATGACTTTGCCAATCTTGGCGGAGCTCTTATATGTTTGGGGCTTCCACTAAACAACTAGTTTGGCTCTGCTTTCTGTCTCATTCCTCCAGTCTCCTGGCCACAGATAGATAATTAACATATTTGTATCCAGCACACCTTTCTGTAGCCAACCTGGGTTGAAGCATTCCAGCATCCCAAATTCTTCTGGGGACCACGGCTCCTCCCTCATTTCATTTGATCTCTTTAGATGGTCAGTCATGGGACTTTATCTTCTCATGTCTTCCCCAGTCATGGGTATGTGACTCAAGCTGAGTCAAATTATTCTGAATTCATATGAGATGCTGGGGTAGAGATGTCACTCCTCCCCTGGCCCTCTGTCACACATGAACACATTACCAGGGCTAGTCAGGAAGTGAAGCTGAAAGATGTGAAAATTTGAGTGGCCTCAGTTCATGCCTTTGTCTCAGCCAGTCCTGTAGCTACACCTGTCTCTTAGGCCTCCTGTTATAGGGGCCATGAAATCTGCTCCTCCTTTTCTTTTATTTATTCCTTTCTTTTACACTGTGAGCTCTTTTGAGTTAACCTTGACTGACTGGAGATTTCAGAGAGGTGGTGCATTTGAGCGAAACTGAATTTGAAAAGATAGGAAAATGGGGTGAACCAAGGAGGAAGAAATGAGATGAGTTTCAAAAAGCAGAAAGGGGTGGCTGTATGTATCCCAGCATTGAAGGACTTTCAGAGACAGCTCCTGTGGAGCTATGAGGCTATTTTTGTTTAATACTGAAGCTGAACATTTGGGGATTCTTGCTAGCCTTCCATTGGCAAAGGTTGTAAGACCTCTGCACTTCCCTGTGGACTTTGAGCCGCTTGGGGCTGGGCAGAAGCAATGGTCAGCAGAGGTGGAGGGTGCTTTGGGCACAATGTAAGTCCAGCCTGCTGGGCCAAATTGCCAAATGTCCACACAGACTTTATCCTGGTGGCGATCTGGTGGTAACCCATTATTTTCCTTCTAAATTCACTTCAATGAAAACTTTAAATTTTAAATTATATTTCCAAAGTTATACTTGATGAGAAAAAATACATAATCATATCAACTTGAAAAGAATGGAAATGTACAGGGACACACTCAACTGCATTCCCCAGAAGCCTTCCCAGCAAGGAAGGTTTTAGTCTATTTCCTTGCAATATTTCTGTCTCTTTTCTGGCCCATCAAACCTCTGTTTGCCTGTGTTTGAGTTTCTGTCCCCACAGTCACGGCTGGGATGCAGATGGCACAGTGCCCCAGGCCCCAGGCGCTACAGGCAGGCCAGCCTGCTTCTCCTTCCTCCTGTGACCTGATGGTGTAATGCCAGATTCGTGGGACCCGAATAGACCTCCAGGAGCCAAATCCGATGCAATCACACAAGAGTCTTTATTGCAAGCTCCAGCCTGGACTCACAACCATTCCAACACAGTGGTGGTCCCAGGGAGTGAGCCCCGGTCCTTTGTTCAGTGAGATTKTATAGGTTTTTGGGGGATACTCTATGCATCACAACATCACACAGCAAATCATTTCACACTGCGGGAAAATCAAACAACTCTTAACATTAACACATTCACTGGCGGGAACAAGTTGGGTAGGGGTGATTGGTTACTACAATAGGGGGATTCATTTGAACTGATTGGTTTAGGCCACGAGGGGTGTACATGCTAAACTACATGGTTTCCCAACATGTTATCAACCACCATAAACTACTGGGGGGTCATCTGGCATCCCAGGTATTTTTCCTGTCTCATGCTGATTGGTGGTTGCTAGGGGGTTGCTATGGGTCCTCACCTAAATTAACTGAGTCAGGGACACCTGGAACTGCAGATCTCTCCTGTTATTTGCAGACAAACAACTCAGCAGGGTGGGTATGTGCTTAGGAGTGCTCTGTGGGTTTTTCCAAGGACAAGGGTCACGTCCCCTTCCTTGGACAGGCTTTGAAGTAGAAGCTGTTTTAAAAAATGGAGTTACATCAGTTTCTCAATGGGCCCTGAGACCCCAGACAAACTGGTACCTCAAGCTCCGTGCCTTGGCTTCTTCATCTCTGAAGTGGGTGGAGGCTGATACTGCCTCAGGCAGGGATTGTGAAGATTGCCTGAGATTCTGCCACACAGAAATTAGCATGAGAACTGCTACAGTATCAGAGTTCCAGCTTTCTGACTTCTTTAATCCTCCAGAAACCTTTGTGGACACTTGTGTCATTACACTTAACCAAAGCTTGACATCCCTGTTTTTTTCTCAAGCCTATGAACCCTTTGAAATAATAAACTCATTTTATTCAGCTTTCTGTCACCAGGGTCTAATGACACATCTTCTGGACTCTGTGTTTGCAGAATATGTAGTTAGAATCAAGGTGCACACATAATACCCTCTGCTTTCTTGTAGTTTATCAACACTTTCTCAGTTTGCATTTTATTCCTCATTTGGGACTTCCTGAACATGGATTCTGCATTAGTAATTCTTATAGGGGATCAGCAGTGAAAGCAAAACATTTACTCCCCCCCCCTTTAAAAAACATTTTAAATTGTAGATGGACACAATACCTTTATTTCTGTTTATTTATTTTTTCATGTGGTGCCGGTGGTCGAACCCAGTGTCTCATTCATGCAAGGCAAGCACTCTACAACTGAGCCACAACCCCAGCCCAGACATTTACCCCTTGACCTCATGCAGTGGATGGTCCAGGAGGTAAAGTCAGACAAGAAACAGAGAATA